CATGAATCAGCCATAGTGATGAGAACTGTTAAGATGTACTAACAAGTCTCAAATATACAGCAACATATTATTAACTATAGTCACCATGCTGGACAGTACACCCCCACGACATTTATTTTATAATGGGAAGTTTGTACAGTTTGATTCTCTCCACCCATTTTGCCCACCCCTCACCTCTTGCCTCTGAAAACCTCCAATCTGTTTTATTTACAAGTTTGGGCTTTTCCTTTTTGTTTTTAGTGGAAGGATAATTGCTTTATAGTATTTTGTGGTTTTCTGTCATACATCAACAAGAATCAGCCATAGGTACACCCATGACCCCTCCCTCCCAAACCCCCCTCCCATCTCCCTCTCCACCCCACCCTTCTAGATGGTCACAGAGCCCTGTTTGAGTTCCCTGAGTTATACATCATGGAAATTTACAAAACCGTGTGTAAAATAGATAGCCAATGAGAATTTGCTGTTTGTTTTGTTTTTGATTCTACACATAAATAAGATCATCTGCTATTTGTTTTTTCTGTCTGACATTTCACTTAGCATATCACCCTCAAGGTCCATCCATTTGTTGCAGATGGAAAGATTTCCTTCTTTTTTATGGCTAATATTCCACTGTATTGTTATTCAGTCGCTAAGTCTGTTGACTCTTGAGACTCCATGGACTGTAGCATGCCAGGCTCCCCTGTCCTTCACTGTCTCCCCTGGAGTTGGCTCAGATTCATGTCCTTTGAGTCGGTGATGCTGTCTAACCATCTCATCCTCTGTCGTCCCCTTCTCCTCCTGCCTTCAATCTTTCCCAGCACCAGGGTCTTTCCCAATGACTTGGGTCTTTACATCAGGTGGCCAAAGTATTGGAGTTTCAGCTTCAGCATCAGTCCTTCCAGTGAACATTCAGGGTTGATTTCCTTTAGGATTGGCTGGTTTGCTCTCCTTGCAGTTCAAGGGACTCTCAAGAGTCTTCTCCAACACCACAATCCAAAAGCATCAATTCTTCGGCACTCAGCTTTCTTTATGGTCCAACTCTCACATTTGTACATTTATATACGTGTGCGTGTGTATACACACACACACACACACATATATGCATGCCACATTTTAAAATCCATTCATCTATTGATGGACACATATTGTTTCAATGTCTTGGCTGTTGTAAATAATGCTGCAATGAACATGAGGGGCACATGCATCTTTTTGAGTTAAGTTTTTGTTTTCTTTGGATAAATACCCAGCAGTGTAATTGCTGGATCATATGGTAGTTCTCTTTTTAATTTTTTGAGATGTCTCCATGGTGGCTGCACGACCTCCCCGCCAACTGTGCAGAAGGATTCCCTTTTATCCGCATCCTCACCAACACTTGTTATTTCTTGACTTTTTGACAACTGCCAGTCTGACAGGTGTGAGGTGCTATCTCCCTGTGGTTCTGAGTTGCATTTCCCTGACGTGGAGCCTGATTGGGCTTTCCCGCCCTCTCCTCCATGGGAACTCCTATCAGAGTTCCTGATATGCTGACAGACCCAGCGGGTGATTTTCCTTTCCTGATGCACCAGTGGCATTTGATGTACTTGACCAGTCCTTTTGCTCAGAAACACTTTCTTTCTTGGCTCCTCTGTTCCCCTCCTGTAACACTGACACAGCTTCTCAGTCTCCTTTTGGGATTCTTCTGGTTTTTTGGACTTCAGATATTGAAATATCCTGTGGCCAGTCCTCAAACCTTTCCTCTCTATTTGTTCTCTTTCTTGATGAGCTCATCCTGTCTCATTGCTTTAAAATTCATTCCTGTGCTAATGATTCCCCATGTTAGACCTCCAACGTAGACCTCTCCACCAAACTCCAGACTCAAAAATCCACCTTGTAAATCCACAAATCTAGCTTGACTAGGGACTGTCTGATTGGCATCTCAAACAATGCATCAAAACTGAGTCCTTGATTTCTTCTTTGCCCCAAACCTGCCCTTCCTCCAGTTGTCTCATCTCTGTAAATCCATTCTTTCATTTCTTCTGCCCTCAAATCTTGGGTTTGTCCCACACTTTTAGTGTCCTTATATTTATATTTTGTAAGTTTTCATTTATAATTTTAAAACTGATTACATATTGAATGATAATATTTTAAGTATACTGGGCTAATTAAAACAGATTATAAAAATTAAATTTTCTCTTATACTACTCTTTTTTCAGAGTGCCTACTAGAAAGTATGAAATTATGCATGTGGCTTGCATTTGTGGCTCACGTTCATTTCTCTCAGAGACCAATGATGCTCTACTTGAATCTTGAGAAGGGGTGCTGGCTTATATAAGGTTAATATACAGTTGGGGTTATGCAAGTATGAAAGAGGTGGGTAATGGCAGTTAGAGGGCAATTGGCAATGTTGGTTACATGGGAGCGGGTGTTTGTTGTTTTTTTAAATATATGTTAACATATATAGTGCTCAAGTATATATGCTATTTACAGTATATATCCATATCAACACAAAACAAAGGTATCTATATGTGTATATAATATATGTCCTAGGGCATATATTGTCTGGGAAGACACGTTTCTGGGGGTCATGGGGCCCACACACTTGCTCTGCGGGCAGGAGAGTTGGGGGAGTGACTCTGGGTCACTGGAGGGTGTGCTATGGAAAAATCAAGTCTTTCCAGGGACAGAAAGGGGCCTTAGGACGTGAAGGGCTGCCCTGCCCATGAGGTCACCCAGGTTTTGGAACCAGCAAACAATTGACATGTTTTGGGTGTTCTGGAATTTTGTGCAAAATGACTTCGCTTAAAAAAAAAAAGAGCCGAAAAACCCCAACCACATGGGTTCCGAATCAGTGGTTGGACTCTGAACATCTGTAAGAATTCAGACACACAGCTTCCCCACTGGGTGGGTTTCCAGGGCTCAGAGGGTCCCATGTGGCTGGAGAAGGGGGTGAGTGGGGCTTCACCCAGTCAAGAGAATGGCCCTTCTCCCAGCTTCTCAGGGACAGCACGTGTCAGCAGATGTCTAGTCACCGAGGAGGACTCTGCCGGTCCTGCTCACTCAGAAAACACTACCCGCTGGAGAGGAGACACGGGGGTCCCCCCATTCTCTGGGTGCGGGCTGGCCTGCCATCTGCCTGTCCACCTCCTTGTAGCCCATGGGAACCTTCCTCTGATGCGCAGAACCACTCTGCCTTGCCGGCCCCCTGGGGGGTGCCCCGGGGACTCCTGGATCAAAACTGACCTCTGCTCCCAGCTTCCTGCTCTGAAGGGAAAGCCCTGGAAGCAGCTTCAGTTCTCAGGGTTGTCCCTGGAGGCACAGATGTCAACCAAGAGATGTCACACTTTGGGCCCCGACAGGCTTAGCAGGCCCCACCCCCCTGAACCCACTGCCAACCACAGCCTGGGTGCAAATACATTAAATGGGAAAGTACGCCACGGTATGGTTTTCTCCATTAAGGCTCAGATAGGCTGCCTCCCAGGTCAGGTACTCATAAACGCCATGGTCCCTGGACTGAGGGGCAGGCGGGCAGGTGAGTTGGGGGCGGAGGCCTTCCACGTTCCCCCACAAGTGGGGCAGGACGATGGGGGAGCCCTGGGCTGGTCTAGTCAATTGCTGGGGAGGTGAGCTAAGGAAACCCCAGCCCAGAATGCTGGGGATGCCCCCACCTGGGGAGAACCGAGGCTCTGCCGGCCCCAGGAGGGGCCAGGGAAAGGAGAGGACATAGGAGCTCGTGCTGCAGGCTGCTGGGTTTCCTGGGAACTCTGCTCCCCCGAGGACGAGCGCTTGTGGTGGGGAGGGTCTGGACAGGGCCCCCTTGGCAGTCTTGCTGGGAGTTGGGGCACAGGCCTGTGGTTGGCAGGCAAGGTTCTGGGTGGCTGGGGTCTCCACCCAGCTCAGCTCCCCACCCCCCTGGGCTCCCTTGGAGCCTCACCGGCGTACCACCATCCACTGGCCTCCAGTCTGCGGGAACCAGCCCAGAGCTGATGGAATCAGAGACCAGCAAACACAGGATCCAGAGCCCCCGCCCTCACAAGGGCCTTCCTGGGCTCCATGAGCTCTGCCCTGCTCAGCCAGCCCCCCAAGATGACATGAGAATCGGTACCCCAGTGTCTGTAGAAGGTGCCAGCTTCCTTCAGCATCTGCCAACACCCTGCCCTGGCCCTGGGTGAGGCCAGATGAGATGGTGGCTGGGCTTACTACTCCCTGGGCCCCAGACATCATTTTCTGGAGTGGGGGAAGAGGTGGGGGTCTCACTGGAGGATCTGGGGACTCGAGGAAGGTAGGAGGGCACGGGGAGGCCTTGGCTTGGGTTCCAGCCATCGGAGGTGTCTCCTAGGGACCCATCCTTTGGGGGCCATGGGACTGATTTTCTAGTCTTTTGAGAAATACTGCATGAGTCTTCAGAGCAGGGCTGGCCCCCAAGCCTGGGGCCACAGATGGGGAGGAACGGAAGAGACCCTCCTTATTTTTCTGCTTGGCCGACTTTCAGGGTGCGGATGTTTCCTTCCAGCACCAGTGCATGGAGGAACTTGAAGGTGCTGATGTAGTAGGCTGGGATGTCTGCAGCGGCCAAAGGCTTGGAGATCCAGGCCACTTCGGTGTACTTATCAAATCCCAGGGACTGTCCTGCAATCCACACCATCTTCCAGAGCCCCCCCCAGATGTTCTCATAAACATCAAATTACTAGGAAACCTCTGCTGGGTCTGCTTGTCCATCACCAGGGAGATTAACCCTCGATGAGGGAGAAGGAGAAGTGGACGTGGCCACAGTCATCGCCGGAGGACGCCAGGGGGTCCTTCAGTCCACTGGAGTAGAACGTGATATAAGGAGTGTGGCAACAGAGGGCGGTGTCAGAGTCCAGGCTGGTGACACAGAACCTGTTGCTCGGGCTGGACAGTGGGTGGATGACGGGCCTCTGGACCACTTTGGGCTTCATGAAGCTGTGTGTGATGCCGAGGTTTTCAGCTGCTAGCGTCTCGCTATTGACGATGCAGAGTATGGTGAACTCTGATGGCAAGGTGTGGGTGATGAAGGGCAGGTCCTACTCATGCACCAGGATGAGGTCCATCTGGTAGGTGGACAGCATGGACACAGAGATGCTCTGATCAGCCAGTGGGGCGATGGCTGACTTGATGATCTCGGTCATGCCGATGGGCTGGAAACTGGAGAAGCTGCCGGTGCCGGATACCACATTGAGGGCTAGCCAGGTAGCATCGGCCACACCCACGTGTTCTGAGGAGGGCAGTTCCAGGAAGCCCTCCTCATCGACAATGATGCTGTAATCCTCTGGTGTCTTGGTCAGACTGAAGAATTTGCACCTGGTCTCGGAGGACAGGAAGGCAAGTTTGATCAGGCTGTAGGTGAAGAGTGGGATACTCTCTTTGACAATGCTGGCAACTTGCAGCTGAGGGAGCAGGTGTTTGGAGTGTGGGTTTTGGAGCTGAACAAGCAAGCACATCTTAGTTCCACTGCTTAGCAGCAGGTGACATTTCTGAGCCTCAGTTTCCTCATCTCTAAAATGGGGATAACAACATTTACCATGTACGGTCATTGTGAGATTTGATAAGACGATGTTGACACAATTTAATATAGCACATAGTGAGCAAAAATAAATGGTAGTTAATATCCTGATTCTCAAGTCTTGACTGGTCCCACCTTTGGGCAGAGGATCCTTGGCTGGCATTCAATCCTTGGCTGGTACATGTTCTGAAGTTCCAGTTTCCTAAACCACAGTGTTGAATGCTCTTGGTAATCATGGAATGTTCAGTAGATATGAGATGTATTATTCCTAGGAATCAGAATTTACCAAAATTACAGGCCCCTGGAGGTGATGTCATTTTAGCAAAAATATCCTTTGCTACAAAGGATGTCACAGTGTGTTTTGTTTGCTTTGTTTGTTGAGTCACTAAGTTGTGTTCGACTCTTTGTGACCCCATGGACTGCAGCACGCCAGGCTCCCCTGTCCTTCACTATCTCCCAGAGTTTTCGCAAACTCATGTCCATTGAGTTGATGATGCCATCCAGCCATCTCATCCTCTGTCACCCCCTTCTCCTCCTGCTTTCAATCTTCCCCAGCATCAGGGTCTTTTTCAGTGAGTCAGCTCTTCGCATCAGGTGACCAAAGTATTGGAACTTCAGCTCCAGCATCAGTCATTCCAATGAATAACCAGGGTTGATTTCCTTTAGGATTGACTGGTTTGATCTCCTTGCTGTCCAGGGGACTCTCAAGAGTCTTCTCTAGCACCACAGTAGGAAGGCATCAATTCTTCGATGCTCAGCTTTCTTTCTGGTCCAACCCTCACATCCATACCTGACTGCTAGAAAAACTATAGCTTTGACTATATGGACCTTTGTCAGCAAAGTGACGTCTCTGCTTTTTTTATATGCTGTCTAGGTTTTTCATAGCTTTTCTTCCAAGGAACAAGAGTTTTTTTAAATTTTGTGGCTGCAGTCACCATCCACAGTGATTTTAGAGTCCAGGAAAATAAAAATCCATGACTGTTTCCACTTTTTCCCCATCTATTTGCCATGAAGTGATGGGATCAGATGCCATGATCTTAGTTTTCTGTATGTTGAGTTTTAAGCCAACTTTTTCACTCTCCTCTTTCACTTTCATCAAGAGGCTCTTTAGCTCCTCTTCACTTTCTGCCATTAGAGTGGTATCATCTGCATATCTGAGGTTATTGATATTTCTCCCAGCAATCGTCACCCCAGCTTGTGATTCATCCAGCACAGTATTTCACTTGATATACTCTGCACAGAAGTTAAATAAGCAAGGTGACAATATACAGCTTTAATGTACTCATTTCCCAATTTGGAACCAGTTTGTTGTTCCATGTCCGGTTTTAACTATTGCTTCTTCATGTATATTATCTATAGTGAAACAGATCACCAGCCCAGGTGGGATGCATGAGACAAGTGCTCGGGCCTGGTGCACTGGGAAGATCCAGAGGGATCGGGTGGAGAGGGAGGTGGGAGGGGGGATCAGGATGGGGAATACATGTAACTCCATGGCTGATTCATGTCAATGTATGACAAAACCCACTGCAATGTTGTGAAGTAATTAGCCTCCAACTAAAAAACAAACAAACAAACAAAAAAACTATTGCTTCTTGACTTGCATACAGATTTCTCAGGAGGCAGGTAAGGAGGTCTGATATTCCCATCTCTTGAAGAATTTTCCACAGTTTGTTGCGATCCATGCAGTCAAAGGGATTCATTCAACAGGTAATTTAGATAGCCTCTGACCTATCAACTGTCAATAGTCACCTCTCACCTGCCCTCTAGGGTTTTCAGATCCTGGCCATCTTCTTCAGATTCAAGAACATCCTTAGGACCAAAGCTCCCTGTCAAAACTCTATGGTCTGATGCTGGAGATGGAGGCTGCCTTGGAGAACTGTGCAGGTCACACTGAAGCCGACAGCTTCACCCTTGTGGAAGGATGCTTTCAGGGTGACTCTGATGAGACTTTCTCGAAGTGGGGCTCTGCCAAGCAGTCTCTACTTATGACACCCACCATAGACTTAGGATTCTGCTGGTGTCATGAAACTTTCTGAAGGAGCGATGCTTGTTCAGCATTTACTTTGCTTCATTTACTGACCCATCAGGGGCTGGTGGGGAGATGACACCCTGCTGATTGGTTGAATGGAGCAGCCCATTGATCTGAATCATGGTCAGTTCAGTTCAGTCGCTCAGTTGTGCCCGACTCTTTGTGACTCCATGGACCGCAGCACACTAGGCCTTCCTGTCCATCACCAACTCCTGGAGTTTACCCAAACTCATGTCCACCGAGTCGGTGATGCCATCCAACCATCTCATCCTCTGTTATCCCCTTCTCATCCTGCCCTCAATCATGGTAATTGACAGTAAAATAGGACCCAAATCAAGGAGTCACAGAGATTCTCAGAAACACACCTATTGTATAAAGTAGTGATTCTCAGTGTTTTGCAAAGAGGAGGATGTTGCTTGCTACTTGTGTGATTTATCATTGTTGCTTTCCACCTTTCTTTCATTGAAATTAGCTTTTAACCTACTTTGAAAGATATACATTAATATTTTTAAAAAGTGATTGCAACTTAAAACTTGTTTTCAGCTTTAAAAGCAATATGTATTTTCAGACTTTGGTGACTCTACTGTACTCCTAATGGCCTCCCTGCCATGGGGATGATGGTGGCTACCCTGATGTATAAAATAAGAGCTAACTCTTCCTCATATTCCTCCTGCTTTTAGATATGTTTCATAGTAACTTTGTCCTGTCGTTTCAAGCACCAGAATCTTGTTGAATAAAGTGAGAACTAGAATAAAAGTGAACGTCATAGCTCTTGGATCTTCCTTGGGAAGAATAGTTCTGTTTTTCTCCCGCAGTACTTAATCATAAATGAATGTATCATTATTCTTAAATTGTTGCCTGAAAATTTTCATGTCATTTCTCATTTGTATATGTCATCCTTCATTCAAATGGTATGCTCCTGAAGGGAAGGCTGCTAATTTTTTTTTTTTTTTATTTCAAGTGACAGGGATTTAATTCCATGGAGCTTAAGTAAGAGTTGAGATTTACTGACTCCTATAACTGGGAGAGACAGGGCTGCATGGAAGAAATCAGCCTGTGTAGCCAGGGCTTGCTCTCACTCCCCATGTCTCATCTCATCTTCCCTTTGTGTTGGTTTTATTCTCTCTCATGACCAGGGTTTTCCTCTCTGTCGTAGGTGATGGGGGTGGGCAGAGGGAATGAGCGGAGGGCAGGTGACCTGGTAGCCGGCAGCTACAGACTTTCATCATCCCAGCTGTTGTATGATGAATTTGGCTGGCCTCCGTCCCTGGTTCCTGGAAGAAAGCCTCAAAACTCTTGGAATTTCCCGAGTGATAGGAGTGCCTTTGTAATTCATCTGTGGGTTCTTGGACCACACCTGAGTTTATATGAGGTGACTCACTGTTGGCCCCCAGATGGTTTTAGGATGGGGCTGGCCAGGTCAGAAGGGCCAACCATGTAATTAGTGGGTTGGGGCTATGAACCAAGTAATAACAGCCCCACTTTCCACGGGCGAAAGAGAGCAGAGATCGAGTTCAATCTCATGGCCAATGGCCCCATCACATAGCTATAGAGTGAAACGCCAGTAAAAACTCTGACGAGTATGTCAGCATCCTAGAAGAGTGATTCATCCTGAGGACACATGAGCTTTGCATCTGGAACCTTCCCACATTGTGCCCCATGTGTCTCTTCATTTGGCTGGTCTTGTTTCGTATCCTTTTGCTATAATAAATCTGGATCGTGTTTTCCTGAGTTCTATGCGTTATCCTAGTGAATTGTCAAACCCGAGGAGCTGGTGGGAACACCTGCATTTGCAGCAGTGGGTCAGAAGTGTGGGTGGCTTGGGCTGGTGCCTGAAGTGACGGTGGGTTGTAGAGAACAGTGCCCTTAACCTGTGAAATTTGACCTGACTCTGGGTAGCTGGGGCTTCCCAGGTGGTAAAAAAAAATCTGCCTGCAAGTGCTGGAGACATGGGTTCAATCCCCGGTTCTGGAAGATCCCCTGGAGAAGGACATGGCAACCCACTCCAGTATTCTTGCCTGGGAAATCCCATGGACAGAGGAGCCTTGTGGGCTACAGTCCATGGGATTGCAAAAGAGTTGGACATGACTGAGCAACTAGACCAGCACCTGGGTCTTTAGCATACGAATTGCATTGTGCTAACTTTGGTGCAATTTCCAGCACTGAAGTGGAAAATTCCACACTAAGACTTTGGTTGGACAGCCTGGGTAATGTGGCCACCGTTGAAACCTTGGCTCCACATGGCTTGAGGAGGAGCAATTCTGCTGCATTGGAGGGAGCAGGGAACCATGCTGGGTGACAGAAGCAGTAGTTGTCTCCCACAGCAAAAGTCTGCATAATTTTCTGACCTTAGCATTTTGCAGAGATAGTTCAGTTCAGTTCAGTTCGGCTCAGTCATGTCCGACTCTTTGCAACCCCATGAATCGCAGCACGCCAGGCCTCTCTGTCCATCACAAACTCCTGGAGTTTACTCAAACTCATGTCCATTGAATCGGTGATGCCATCCAGCCATCTCATCCTCTGATATCCCCTTCTCCTGCCCCCAATCCCTCCCAGCATCAGGGTCTTTTCAAATGAGTCAACTCTTCGCATGAGGTGGACAAAGTACTGGAGTTCCTGCTTCAGCATCAGTCCTTCCAATGAACACCCAGGACTGATCTCCTTTAGGATGGACTGGTTGGATCTCCTTGCAGTCCAAGGGACGGAATCTCAAGAGTCTTCTCCAACACCACAGTTCAAAAGCATCAATTTTTCAGTGCTCAGCTTTCTTCACAGTCCAACTCTCACAGCAGAGATAGTTAGTGTTCATCAAATATTTATTTGCCCCCTTACATATGTCAGTATAACCAGAAGTGGGGTCTGACTGCTTGCTGCTCAAAAGCCAATAAAGA